TAAATAAATATTTTTAAATACTATAACTAAATATTTAATAAAAAATTATAAACTGATAATAAAATAATTAAATTGTGTATTCATAACCGCCTCCTACCGAAGGTCACTTGCTACGTCGGAGTACAGTTTTCTTAGGCGTTTTTCTAATATGTAAGGGTATAATAATATAGTAGTATATATTAATATTAATTATTATTAAAAATATAAAATTAATGTTGATTTTATTAAGAAAATTATTGATATATATTTTATTTCAATACACTTACCAACATTTATTAGTTTGGTTATTAAAATCTATAATTTTAAGTTTTTATATCTTTAATTTAAATTTCAAAATAATAATTAGTAAATATGTTATTCAATATATTGAACCGAAAAGTATATATTAATGTTTATTTTATTATTAATTGTTTTGCACTGAACCCCTAACAAGTCAAAGCCACATTGGTTCCAATGAATTTAGAATCTAACCAAGTTAAATGTCATAAGAAGAGGAGCTCTTCTAATATTTATCTTTTTATTTATAAGATTCGATCTTGAAATTTTATTTGAGGGGATTCAAAATTTTTCTACTCGAACTAACTAGTTGTTGGTTTTATTATTAATGTTATATGAATAATTTTGATTGGACATTTAATCAAATAAAATTTAAGTTATATTTTTTTCAATCCCAATTAGTATCAAAAAGGTACTTTTGACCATATACTTGAAGGCACAAATTAGAAAAATTAATTTTTCCTCTCAGTTCTACCTCTAAAAGAGATGGGTCCTAAGGACCACAACATTTGAAAATTTTGAACTTTAGTACATATAAACGTATTTTTCCCTAATTTTTTAAGGAATTTCTAAAATTTTTAAATACTATAGTTATCATGTAATTAAACTTAAAATATTCTCATGTAACTCTTTATAATTTTTTAATTTATTTATATTTGAATTACAATATATAGTATTCTCATTAAAAGTATCATTTCAAATAAAAAGAAAATATCAAGATCTAGTTAATGGTTTTGCCAAAAAAATCTTTTCTTCCAATCATGGGTCAACATTTTTGAATTGCCTTAGGATAGACTCTCTAATTCTCAAAGTGATTTCATTAAATGAAAATTTTGGATTTTTTTTTTTTTTTATACTTAAGGATTCTTGAACTTGTTATTTTGTTTTTTTAAGCATTACACAAGCATGTGGTATTTGTTTATTTCTCAATAAGAAGGTTTGAGTGTTCAATTAGTTAATGATTTTAGTTGCTAAGTACTAAATTATATATTTCTTCTGTTTTACTGTTTACTCTTTTCATCTTAAAATATATTTTAAATTAAATCTTATTATATTATAAAAATTATTAAAATTTTTAATAAATTCTAAATAAATACTTAATGAGTATATTAAAATTTTCAATAAATATTCAATCAGCCTTTTCAAA